CAGGCGGGCCCGGCCTGGAGGGGCTGCAGCTGCTTCCGGTTGTCGTTTGCAGAATGAAGACCATTCTCAGCAACCAGACGGTTGACATCCCCGAGCAAGGTACGTCCGCGGGTGCGCCTGGGAGGCGGTTTGTGGTGCGGGCCTCGCAGCCGGTTAACGGGCGTCTGCCTTTGCTCTCCAGTCAGCGTTTCACTGAAGGGCCGGACAGTCATTGTGAAGGGCCCCAGAGGAACCCTGCGACGGGATTTTAACCATATCAATGTGGAGCTGTCCCTCCTGGGGAAGAAGCACAAGAAGGTGAGTGCTGCGGGGGTCGCTTCTCTGCCTGGAGAGGGAGGGGAGCTCGGCAGTTCCCTGTAAAACTTGCCGGTAGTTGAACCAAAATGTTTAGCCACAGAGAAGCTACTTAATTTTTCGCCTACTTCTGTTTTTTCTGGAAAAGGCTGATCTCATGGGACCTACTCGGGACCTGTGGGATTCTTGAAGTTCTGTGATATGTTGGAGTGGGTTTGCTGGTTGATTTTCTTTTGTAGTTAGTCAGGTAGTAGGGGAAGGGGATTGATTATGTGCTGTGTTGTATAAACTGGCTCGTTTTAGCTAGGTGAAGCTAAATCTTGTATGTTTAGTTTTTAGAACTGGCAAATTATATCAGGAGAGCAGGTGTTTTCTAAAAAAATGCATGATATTTTTGTACTGTCTTAAAAACTACAGAAACTGAGGAAGAATGGCTGATTTCAGCTACTTTTTCACAAGCATCAAGTGCTTCATTAAAACACTGGACTGACACGCAGCGTTTCATCTAAAAGTCAGTAGCTTCTGTGTAGGAGACTGACTTTGGAGCAATGTGTTTAGCATTTGATAGTCTTAATCAGCTGAAGATGTTAGGCTGTCTGTCTCAGCTTCTTTGATGGCTTGGTAATAACAAGACGTGAAGCAAAGAAATGTTTCTCGTACGTCAGGGGGTTAGGGCTTCGAAGGCCTGAGCTGGGCAGGCCTTTAGCAGCCTGTCAAAGAGGCAGAACACTTTGTGCTTTTGTTAGGTGGGCTTTCAAGTCGTTCATCTGAACTTCTTGCTCTTGGTTTGTCAGAAAAATGTTTCATTTCTAGGTTTAGAAGGGCAGCTGAAATCTTTGTTTCATGTATTTTTTTAAACACAGCTACGTGTCGACAAATGGTGGGGTAACAGGAAGGAGCTGGCGACGGTTCGCACGATTTGCAGCCACGTACAGAACATGATAAAGGGTGTCACGCTGGTAAGCTTTGGTTTGGAATGGGGTGACTCCTGTCACTGCTGCTACGACAGCAGGCGGCCTTTTCCTTAAGCGAGAGCTTTTCTCAGCATCCAAGATGGAGCTTTCTCTCTTTCTTTTTACTGTTGTGTTGCTTGCAGCTGCTGCCAGATGAGTTCTGCAGGGGGAAGGAAGGGTGAATGTCTCTTGGGCTCGGCCTCTTGCCCTTGTCAAGAAACTGTTTTCAGTGTATCCTGGGTTTAGGTTTCTCCTGCTTAATGCTTCTGCCTGACGTTTTGGACCTGTTACGCTTCCAGTGTCTGATGGTGTCCTTTGTCCCAGGGGTTTCGTTACAAGATGAGGTCAGTGTACGCTCACTTCCCGATCAACGTCGTCATACAGGATAATGGCTCGCTTGTGGAAATCCGAAACTTCTTGGGAGAGAAGTACATCCGCAGGGTGCGCATGAGGCCAGGTGAGCCTGTCTGGAGCTGGGTGTCACTGGGTCTGACTGGGGTTTCTAAGCTGCTTCCTTTGGGTACTGCTGCTGACCCGGGACATGGGGAAGGGCTGCTGCAGCAGCGTTCGCCTGCTTGAATTTACATAATCTGACGGTACCTTGGCCCCTGGTTAGATTTCTAGTTAGGGACGTGTTTGGAATCTACATTCCCAGTAACGAGAGGTAGCTCATAACTAGTTTAAAGCTAGTTACTGACACATGAGTCGCAGGGAGCCCGGTGTTTACTTCCATGGTAGTGAGATCTGGACAGCGTTCACAGTTGGTAAAGCACAGGTGGTCGGTTTTAGATTTGTGCTTCTGTTTTAAACATTGTGCATGTTCAGGTAGTTCCACACCGCACCATAGTTTTGGTCTTTGAAGTGTTCTTGTATTTTGAATTTCCTAGTTGTCTCGTGGCGCATACAGCAGATTTCAAGACGATGATCTTAGTTGCTGATTTTAGAAAATCTTGCATCCTCGGGAGCTTTAGCAAGATTCATAGCAGAGCAAGCGTTTGGTGGAGCTTGTTAAACTTCCAGAAGGAGGAGACAAAATGTGTCGTAAACACAGTTACCTTAGGACTGTAGAGAAGACTTTCCATGTTTGTGTTTTTTGATAGTTCCAGTTCTGGAGAGGATACGGGTAAGAGTGTTTAGTGTGAGCTGTGGTGTTTTGGGGTGGCTTTAGGTGAAAGCGCCAGGCTTGCCCCAGACCCCTGGTAGATGCAGTGCAGACACTTAACGGTGGCTTTGACTTTGACTTACAGTGGGGTGTGAAGGGTGAGTTTGGTTATTGTATTTGATCTTTTTGACATTTACTTCAAAGATGGTAAAGTGCTGCCTTAAAAATCTAACATCCAGTGACTAAATAGATCCAACTGTGAACACCAACTTGGGCTGCTCTCATTGCGAGTGGAAGTTTCCTGTTAGGCTCTTGAATGCCCTGGAGCTTATTCCTTGTGCGTATTCACAGTGTTGCTGGTATAAACGTGGTGCTTGACATGTCAGGGCAGGGGGTTTTGTTGACTTTTGGTTGGGGTGACTCCAGTTTTGTGTCAAGTGAACGTCAGAACGTAGAAAATGGCACCATGTAGCTGGTGGTGCCATGCTGGCCACCTCTTGCAGCCGTGTTGGAGATGGCTGCTGTAACGCAGTCGCGTTCAAGTAGGGGAGTCATCAGTTAGTTGCTTTCAGTCCAGAGCCTGACTCGCTGTCATCTTTGGGTGCTGAAACTGAGGGAGGACGATCTTGGAAGGGACTTGGGGGACTCCTAATGGAGTCATAGAAGTTACTCGTTGCCTTGAATACTGCCTTCTGGGTCTGTAAATCGGGACAGGATGCGATTACTGTTTCTTTAGTGTGCTTAACACCTTCACCAATGATGGAGATATTGTGTTTTCCTTTCTATAGGTGTTTCCTGTGCAGTATCTCAAGCCCAGAAAGATGAGCTGATCCTTGAAGGGAACGACATTGAATTGGTCTCCAATTCAGGTTTGTGAAGTAGATGCGTGGGTGGATAGAATGATACAGCCGCTTTCATCTTTGGAAGATGTCAGCTTAGCAAACTCCATCTGTCTTTTTTTCTCAAACCCTGACATAAATGACAGCTCAATTTTATTTTTTTCCCCTAGTCACTGTAATTGCTTTTCATAGTTTCTTACGTTTTTTTCCTAAACTTAAAGCTATTTTTCAAGTCCACAGAAGGGGTTTTTTGAGTCAGCATTGATGACCTTTTTGGCACAAAACTTTTTGGCTTTTTGGTTGTATGAGTGTGCAGTAACAAACTGTCGCTGCCGTGAGTTGCCAAGAGGGGGTCAGTGAAATGCACTCTGTTTTTGTTAGAACTGACAGGGCTTCAAGCTGGTAATTCTCTTCTCCAGGTGACAGTCTCATTTGTTAGTTGAAATGTTGGAGAGTAAACAAAGGCTACAAGCAAGGTGTGGACCTCTTGCTTTGTGCTCATGGTCTTGCTTTGTCTGCAGCTGCCTTGATCCAGCAAGCCACTACAGTCAAGAACAAGGATATCAGGAAATTCTTGGATGGTATCTATGTCTCTGAGAAAGGAACAGTACAGCAGGCAGATGAGTGAAACTCTTAATAGGTTGGTATCATCTTAATGCAGATCGTCCGTCTGCCGTGTAGAGGTGGTTACTCGGATCTGGGGACTTGACAAGGTTTATCTGCTTTAGCAAGGCTGTGGTTAAGTGGGGACGCCGTTGTGCTTGTAAAAGGTATCATAAAACTCAAATGTTGCTTAAATTTTGAGGCAGAGGATGCAGGTAAAGTGAGTTTCATAAACTAAAATATTTTTTATCACCAGCCAGGTACCAGACACTTGAGCTACTGAAAAAGGATTTTTAGTGCTGTTCTGAGTTCCTTGAGGGCTGCAACAGCTTGTTATCTGCTTATTAAACAGTTGTGAGCTGCTGTGTTTGGAGGCATCTTTAAAATCTTGTCTGAATAAAATGAAGCAAATTCCTTGAGCTGTTAACGTCTGTCTTGCATTACAACTGTCAGATGAATTAACTTGTCATACGTCTACAAACTTTCAATTTCACACTTGCAATGCTAAAACCTTTATAAAAGCTCTTTTTACCTGCAGTTGTCTGGATCCTGAAACAAACCATGAGACATGATACCAGCAAGTACCAGCTTGAAGAATCTGATACAAAACCTGAGTACCGAGAGGTGTAATAAAATAAAACCTATTTCATATCTTGGCCTCTTTTTTTCCACCCTCCCCAGGCCCCCCCCCCCGAACTAAATGGCGTTTGGGTGAACCTGTTCAAGATCTTTGGCTTTTGGAGAAGCAGAGCGTCACAGGGTAATGCAAGATAATGTCAGCTCTGCGTTCACGTTGCTTTGCCGGTCTCTGAGAACATTCAGGCTGAGTGAAGTCTGATGGTTTGGAAACCTTGTGCCAATGGAGGGTGGACTCAGCCTTTAAAGCAATGAAGTGGTAGTTTTCAGTCATAGTGTTAAGAAGTAGCAAAAGCATAGTTCTCACAGGAAGGAGACTAGTGTTCCCACACATTATTTCAGAACCTGAGACTGTGAAAACTGAATTTCTGTGTACAGTTTCTGGAGGGGATTTCAGACTTGTGATGACAGAATCTGGAGTAGGTTAAAACCAAAACTAGAATAGCAGAACCAGATGTATGAGACCATTTAAATGAAATACGGAGTAGGAAGAAGTAGTCTGAAAATAGGTTGCTTTAGCTATATTGCTCAATACAGAAAACTGAGGACTTGGCCTCAGAGTTCAGGCAGAGCTTATTGCTAGGCTTCACCAACAGTGGTTGGTGTCACCTGGGGATTTAGCTCTGTTTTTTTCCTGGTTACTTATCTTGCCATGTAGCGATGTCTGATGGGGATGTTGTGCTATTTCTGTGCTGTGGCAAAATCCACGTTGTCACTTGGTAACGTTCAGCTTTGAAAACAGATTTGCAGGAGTACTGGGATAAGGCAGAAGCATACTTGGCAACAAGTGGCTGAAGCTTAATCCTGAGGAAAGCTTCAGGCATGCCTAAGGGATTCACCAAATGGCCCAAAGCACCCACTTGCGTCAGTCTGGGGAGTCTGGCGGGGGCGTGCAGTAGCGGTGTCGCAGCCTGGCAAAGCGGCGGCACTGCCCCACGGGTGGGGACTTGGTACATGGCCTGATGAACGCTTGGGGAGGTGGGGCCTGGCGCTGTTCAAACTGCAGCTAGAGGGGTGCTCTGCGGTTCTCTGCACCCACAAGGCACATGGAACTCAAGAGGAGATTCCCTGCAGGGTGCTGCGGTGTGGTTGCTGTGGGCGATAACTACTCAGTGGCTTTGGGTGGTGGAAGGACGCAGGCCCCTCCAGCACCTGCGCCATCTGCTGTGCTGGTAGAACAGTCCATAGCGTTAAATGGGCAGGAGTCCCTCCTCGTTTTACTAGGACTTAACTTTTGAGTTCATGGACCACCTGTGATGTTGACCAACAAACACTTGAAATACAGTGGAGAAGCTGCCTAGTGCATTTATGAACTGAGACAAGGTTGGACCAAGTATCGGGATTTTGGGGGCTGGTCAATTGCCCGTATTCTCAAAGCAGCACTTTCACAAAGTGCCTGGTAGTGGCCATAATGCTTTTATCATTATCATTTACCTTGTGTTTGGTGCCATCTTGTGTGTTCAGATGCAGCTGGAAAAGGACGTTTATATGCCTCATCTCTTCAGAGGTGCTGGGGTACAGCTAAAGTGTGACTCCCTGGTTTGGGGACTGTAAGACTGAGGTAACTGGCTTCTAGTGGGAACAGCTTGGGGGTTGCACTGTGTCTTGAAAAATGGTACTAGCTGCTGGAAGAGAAGGTTGTAGAGTGGAGGAAGGCAGTGGGAATTTAACTGATGGCTCTTTCTGCCCTTCGTTCCATTGCTAGAGCAGGTTCTCTACCCCTCTAGCAGAGGCGCATGGTACCTGCCTGGGCAGTGGCGATCTGATGCAATGACAGAAAAGGCTGGATGACATGGATTTTAAATGGTGGTGCAGTTCACAGGAAAAACCTGTTATGCTCATTTTGAGATGACCAAAACCAGACCAAGGGAAACCTCTGGGTTTGGTCCCTGAAAAGTTTAAATGAGAGAGCAGATTCGTTTATCCTTTAAGAGCATTGTGCCTGGGTTGGCAGCTGTTGTTAACGCAGCAGTAGCAATTTACTCCTCTCTTGGTTTCATCCTGCTTGTGGCTTGCACAGGCACTTGAGCAGAGAGAAGATGATAATATGTATTTATTTCTGTGAAAAAGTGCAATTTAGAATTATATTCATCGCTCTCTTAAGTGGATTAATAGTTCCTATTTATTTTTATGTTCTCTGCTAGTAAAAATTTTTACGGCTGTCCCAGTTTGGAAATGAAAACCAGTGATTGTTTATTATTTTGACTTGTGTCCTGTGGGTCCAGCTACATTTGCTTCAAATGTTAACAACTTATCTCTACCTCACCCAATATGTATGAGATACAGGTATGTTGGTCGATAATGGCGTTAATTTGGATTTGTTCTTTTAGATGTATCTCCAGAAGCTGGCCCAGGACATTTCGTTCTTGGTGTTGTACTTAGTTGAAAGTTTGTGGGGTTTAATAACACTTTTATTTGTAAACGCAAACAACTGCAGCTTCATGCTCAACAACATGGATAACGTGAACACACATCACACGACGCTTTGGGCCAGAGGTTCATAGAAAAGTCCATATCAGTTCTCACAGCTTAATATCTCTTTTCAAGTCAAACTGTTTGAAAGGTTATTCCAAGGCACAGGAGAGTCATAAAATGTTCTTCTTTCTTTTTTTCAAATAGATGAATTTATCTTTTATCCACCTACTGTACGTAGAAGCAATTTCACCAGAAGTAAACGTCGTCATAGCTCGTCTGCCTGTGCATACGATTGCTTTGTGTTTTCGAACAAAATGCTTGGTGCATATGACTGGAGTGACTCATGTAGTGCTTTTCTAGACACTTCAGTTGTCTGATCTGCATTGTCCTCTGTAGAATGCAGACAGCGATGGATCTCACTTGAAAGTGGGCTTGGGCCCCCTTTTTAAAACGAAACACAGATGCACTGGATGCTTTTTGCCTTAAAACGTTTTCTTCTTTTTCTTTTGTGAAAAACGATAATGGTTAAAAGCAAGATAAGGGTGGAGAAAAGGCAGCAGGCAAAGAATATGAACGGCTTCTTCTGAGAAACAAACAAGCAGAAGCTGCACTGCTTTTCTTGGTTGGAGGGACCGCAGGCTGAATGGTCGGCAGGAAAGCCGTTGTTGCTTATCAGGTTATTGTAAAATTTTATTGAAGGCTTTCCTTTTGAATCCGAAGTGAAGAACCCAAACCTGGGCTTAGTTTTTTCTTCAGTCAGCTTAAATGCGTAGTAGCCTTTAATCTTGACTTTATCAATGTAGTATGCTGGGAGGGAAAAAAACAAACAAACCCAAATGTTAATAATACCTTATATGACCTGCAGACTTCCTGGTGATGAGTTCAGAGTGTAATTGCCTCATAAATTATTTACTTACACTTACCAGTTCTAATCGTACTCAGCTGTCTTAATTAAGTAGAAAGAATGCATCATTGTTTTAAAAAGAATTTAATAATTTTTGAATTTTCTGGACCTACTCTGTGAAAGCTGGATTTGAACAGGGTTCCAGCTGGGAGCTTGCTTTCCTGGGAAGAGCCAGATGCTGCTCTTAACTGAACTCAGCTGCGAGGACTCAAGGGGAGCAACTGCTCACCTGTGCCATTGAGAGGAGCTTCCAAAAATTCCTGCCCTGCTCCAAACCCAGCTGCTCAGCCCCGAAGCACGCATGACTGTGTGTTACACTGCTGCACCCAAGAGTCAGGTGAAAATACTTTTAACAGAATCATAAATAGCAGCCCTTGGTGAGTAAACACCAATTCATGTGTAAGTAGGGAGCATAGTTGGGGATGTGACCCAGACTGAGCAAGAACATTGTAAATTGGGGGGATCTTTCTGTGAGTACTATAAAGTGTCACGCTATCTGACAATTAAAATGGGAATACTATGATGAAGTGCCCTTTAAACAACCTTTTCCTTTAATAACTCACTGTTCTTTTGTTTGCAATGTGAAATTAGCATGGAAAATAAATCAGCAAATGCTCATTATTCCTATAGTAATTGAGACAAGAGCTGGGCACTGGAGGAAGGATGCTCTGTTTCCTGTTGGTGTCTAAAAGTAATCTGAAGCCGCGCTTAGCCATAAGACCTGTCTCATTTTTTTACGTAGCTAGCTCCTAGAGAGGAGAAACTAGGGTAGTTAGACTATGTTTGGGGACAGGTGCCTCAGAAGAGCTTTTAGACACCCCATGTCCCAGTCAGGGAACTTGCTAGTGCTGGCCAATAGGGAATAGCGAGTGCAGGGCTGTATTGTACGTCTCGTTTTGGCTGTATGGTTCGGGTATCGAGGCCTTTCTGGTATCCTGCAGCTCACTGCTTTCCTTTTAACGTTTGGTTGGAGGAAGAGGGATGGGAGAGGTGAGGTCCCTGCAGCATTTCTCATACAATTAGCTATTGCTGAAGATCATTGCCTTGAACATTTTTGTCCTCTACTTCCACAATTGTTACTAATTTTTCTCTCAAGTGACGAATTAGATTTCCGTAGGTGCCCAGGAGAAAGCAAGTAGTGGAACAGGAACTAGAGTTTGACTCTCCCTTCAACAGCAGCTCCTTAAAAATCTGGTGACTTGCTGTATTTCTTCTGTGTGTCCCTCCAGGTCTCCTTGGACTTGCTTGTGCTTTCCTGTCCAGTGACTCTAGCTCAGCAAGCAAGGAGGCTCCCACCTTTCTTTGTAGAGTAGAAATTACCATTGTCTCTTGGGAGGTCTTAGTCTGATGTGCCATCTCCTGTAACTTCTGAATATGCGTGCCCAGATGGCTTCTCACGTGGGTTAAGCTGGAAGCAGACGTGGCTGTGTTTCACGTGAGGGGCTTGATGCCATTGCTTTGTGTTGTGTCTGCCCTGAGCGTGACTGCAGAATCAGGCCCCTCAAGGGGCTGAATGCTGATGGCCAGTTCCTGCGTCTCAACCAGAGGTGCTTGCTCTGTCTAGGGCAAATCTTAGGTGCTTGCTTAAGGAATGCCTGGG